TTTTTTACTTGATTAAATCATTTTTTGCATTTATTTGAGTGCGGTATTGTTTTGATTTTTTTTTTTATATATATCTCAAAGGTTGTATAAGAGGGTCACCTCAATACCTGCACCAATTTCACTGTTGAGTGCCAACATCATTATAAAGTTTTGTACACCTCAAATAGACCCCCTTACACTCACACTACACAACAAACAGCCCCATCTTCACACTTCACAAGCAGTCTCCGAACACCTACAACACCACAGGCAGCCTCCCCACACATGCACAGCATTGTTTACCAGCCCACCAGCAAACACAGTTCATGCATGTTGTTACATTTTCTTATTTCCTTTTAATGGATGGAAGACATGCCAGCAAAGGTCACTTCACCCAAAACTGTGTTATCCAAGAGAATAAACCTGGCCCTGTGGGTGTGGCAGCACTTCCATAATATCTGTGTAAGAGCCACACAATCAAGGGGTAGCAGTGGAGAAGAACGCAAAGGAGAGTGAATGGTCGAGAAAACATTGCACCAGAAAGACTTCCCTTGATCCCAGGAACCAGTTGCCCTGGAAGGAGGTGTACACCTAATGCCACTGTGTAACCACTGGTATATAATAATTAAAAGGTACTTAAACAGTGACCCAGTGTCAAACACTGCTTGTATGTCTTTGAGTACAGAGAGTTTTAAAGTGTACATTTTATGCATTGATTCACTTCTTGAAACATAACAAAGCTTTTCATTATTTAATTTGTGTTAACCTAAACATTCCAGCATTTCATGCATTCTCTATTTATAATTCCACCAAAATGAATACCTGTTACCTGGCAATAAAATGGTTAAAAAACAATGTGCTCATTTCAGATGGTAATCACAAAAATGGCTGTCTCTGTCGTTAGCGATTTCTCTGTCATTCTCCTTGCTACAAAATGTACCGTTTTACAACTGGTAATTAGCAACTAGCGAACGTTTTAACGTTTCCCATACAGATTAATAGTAGATGCTAAATACTAATTAAGCTTAATTTACATGCTAGATCATAAAAAATAATGCTAGTAAAATTTACAACTGCCTCATCAAGGTGTAAAAAGGAAGATAAGTTAAAGACTGCAAATTATTTGTAAACAATACATTCTTTTTATATTTAGCACTATAGTCAATTTATAAGAAAGGTGTATGTAGATCTGAATTAAATTAAGCAAGTCAGGTGTATGGAGAAACACCAAGGGCAACTTGCTCTGACAATCACAATGAAACGTGCCAGACAATTACAAGTGAAGTGCACATTCGCTGCCTAAAAACTGTGTAGTGTCCTGTCAGAATTTCTATGGCAATTAATTGTAAAGAGCAATTATTCTGCTATGGTGGTTGGTATCAGTAAAGGTAGATAGGAGTAGCTTGCAGTTGCTAAGTATTGAGAATGGGAAACTTTTTTTGTTTTGTTTGTTTTTTTTACTGCTTTTTACTACTATGTCTTTGACAACATAGAAAGTGACCAGTTTCGAGCTGTAGAAACATTCATGAGTGTGTGAGTCTTGACTTACAGGGTTATTTACTGAATTTTGAAAAGATAGGGATGTGATTTAAATAATAGACAATAGAAGCCAATTGAAAAAATAAAACCTCCCAAAGTCAGCTATGTTTTCAGTTCAGCTAGAATATTACAAGAACCATAACCACTGTAGTCTGATGTAGTGGTTATTGTGCCAGGAGTGTCCTGACACAATCCTAGGGTAACATGAAAAATTGGTGCAGCAGCCTCATCCAATCCAGATATCTTTGCAGAGTAAAGTTTGTTGTTACAGGTCAGTACAGATGGCATATAACAAAACTGTACACTGTGCTTTAGAAATGTTATAGATATTTGTTTATTTTTAACAATAATCATACAATTTTATAAATATTATAAAAAAACGAAAAAGCAAAAACACTTATTTCATCCAGTGATAAAAACACATAATTGTATTAGGAATTATTTTTTACTATAATCTTATTGCTGGAGTGCAATAGGTTATAGCAGGATAATTGTTCAAGAAAGTTATTGTACATTTGTACCCTGATACATATTAGGCAATAAATGCATCTGTAAAATTATTCTTCCTCTTTAATCCTTAGAATAGAAGCAGTGGCGGATCCAGAGCCTGACCTCGGGAGGGGCACTTGCAGATTATTTAGAGAAATAATCCAGACACAATACCCACTACAGCTCAGTGTAGTGGTTATGATGCCAGTAGTGCCGGAAACTCCTCCCAGAGTAAGTAGTCAAACCGTTTAGGAACAGTTTGACAACTTACCTGAGGTCTGCATGGAAATGGGGCTGTAGTAGGGCATAGGAGCAGGGGTGCAGTGTGTGTTTGTGTAAGAAGGACTGTGTGAGCAGTGTGTGTGTGTGTGTGAAAGTTGCAGTGTGTATGTGAGGGCGGCAGTGTGTGTTAGGGCAATGTGTGTGTATGGGGGCAGTGTATGTATGTGGGGGCAGTGTGTGTGTATGGGGCAGTGCATGTGTATGAGGCAGTGTATGTGTATGGGGGCAGTGTATGTATGTTGGGGCAGTGTATGTGTATGGGGCAGTGTATGTGTTTGGGGGCAGTGTATGTGTTTGGGGGCAGTGTATGTGTATGGGGGCAGTGGATGTGTATGGGGCAGTGTATGTATGTGGGGCAATGTGTGTGTATGGGGCAGTGTATGTATGTGGGGGCAATGTGTGTGTGTGTGTAGGGTATGTGTGTGATAAGGATGTTTTTTTTTTTTATTTGATAAAATTTTTTATTTATTTTTTTACCTTTCTCCCCTATGGTCCATGAAGGCACATTGCAGGGCTGGCGCTTGGACAGCGCCAGCCCTGCATTAGCCGGCAGAGGAGAGGGAGAACCTCGGATTCTCGGGGGGGGAGACAATTGCCCCGTTGCCCCCCCCCGGATCCGCCAGTGAATAGAAGAGGATTGAGCAGAGGGTTGGATTCAACGTCAGTCAATCTAGCATTCACAACTCTCTCGAGGATATTGAAGGCAAAGTGTAGAAGCGAGGTAGGGTGGTAGTGAGATGGGGAGTTAGGGTCAAGGTTAGTCTTTTTTTAGAATTGGGGTGATGGTTTTGTCGTTGAAGGGACAATACTAGAGTTGAGGGAGAGATTGAATATTTTAGTAAGGGGCAGAGCAAGAGTTAAAGCAAATGGCATGTGTCTGCACTGCTACCTGGTTGATCCCTTTCCCCTGGTGTTTAGAGTTTTATTTGCTTTCTGCAGCAGTTTGCACCATTGTTGAGATCCCAGTGAGGTCCATGGTGGTAGTGAGGCCTTCATATTCTTCAGTAGTCTTTTTTTTTTCCCCAAGAGGAAAAATATTGGGACACACTGAACTTTTCTAGTAAAGACAAAAAGAGAATTGGGGGCACACCAGGAACATGCATTTCTCAGCAATGATGCTGCCATGGAGACAACAATGTATACAAAATACATATTAAGGAACAGCGCATACATAAAAAAAAAAATACAGTTTTTCATTTTACAATGCTACTTAAAATCACCTATCTCATGAAATTAATACATTCATTCATGTCTGTTGTAAGAGCATTAATGTGATTAAAAAAACAAAATTTTAAAATGTGCACTGTTAAGACTAAACAAAGTGATAGTTATTTTAAGTATATACTTACAATGCATGTCATATATATGTGCTATACCAAATGAAGATTATAATTAAAGAACTGGATTTTTCTGGAATGCACAAATCTCCATATGCTTACCTCAAAATTGGTTCCTCAGAAATAGGAAATCTGTGTTTAAGAAAGATAAATGGCTCTTTAATTTAGATGTCTTTAGATTTCTGATGGCTGTCCTCAAGATCAATTTCTCCTCAATGGGACCTACCATCTTAGGTTATTGAAGTATGCACTTTTTCAACCATCAAATTCATAAAAATATAAAAAATATAATTTTTTATTTAGTGCTCTTTTTTTTTACCCTGTATTGGTTGATCTGGGAACCAAACGGTAGAAAAATGCTCAAAGTACAGCAAAAAAAATAAATATATATATATAATTTTTAGATTTGTATATATTGGCACATTTTAAGTCCCTGTCTATTTGGGGCAAGAAGTAGCTGCCAGTGGTTCTGCTGCGATGGCATATACCAATTATACCAATTAAAGAAAAAAATAAGTGTGTAAATAAAATAAATAAATTTAAAGATTAATAATAATAATAATATATATATATATACAGGGAGTGCAGAATTATTAGGCAAGTTGTATTTTTGAGGATTAATTTTATTATTGAACAACAACTATGTTCTCAATGAACCCAAAAAACTCATTAATATCAAAGCTGAATATTTTTGGAAGTAGTTTTTAGTTTGTTTTAGTTTTAGCTATGTTAGGGGGATATCTGTGTGTGCAGGTGACTATTACTGTGCATAATTATTAGGCAACTTAACAAAAAACAAATATATACCCATTTCAATTATTTATTATTACCAGTGAAACCAATATAACATCTCAACATTCACAAATATACATTTCTGACATTCAAAAACAAAACAAAAACAAATCAGTGACCAATATAGCCACCTTTCTTTGCAAGGACACTCAAAAGCCTGCCATCCATGGATTCTGTCAGTGTTTTGATCTGTTCACCATCAACATTGCGTGCAGCAGCAACCACAGCCTCCCAGACACTGTTCAGAGAGGTGTACTGTTTTCCCTCCTTGTAAATCTCACATTTGATGATGGACCACAGGTTCTCAATGGGGTTCAGATCAGGTGAACAAGGAGGCCATGTCATTAGATTTTCTTCTTTTATACCCTTTCTTGCCAGCCACGCTGTGGAGTACTTGGACGCGTGTGATGGAGCATTGTCCTGCATGAAAATCATGTTTTTCTTGAAGGATGCAGACTTCTTCCTGTACCACTGCTTGAAGAAGGTGTCTTCCAGGAACTGGCAGTAGGACTGGGAGTTGAGCTTGACTCCATCCTCAACCCGAAAAGGCCCCACAAGCTCATCTTTGATGATACCAGCCCAAACCAGTACTCCACCTCCACCTTGCTGGCGTCTGAGTCGGACTGGAGCTCTCTGCCCTTTACCAATCCAGCCACGGGCCCATCCATCTGGCCCATCAAGACTCACTCTCATTTCATCAGTCCATAAAACCTTAGAAAAATCAGTCTTGAGATATTTCTTGGCCCAGTCTTGACATTTCAGCTTGTGTGTCTTGTTCAGTGGTGGTCGTTTTTCAGCCTTTCTTACCTTGGCCATGTCTCTGAGTATTGCACACCTTGTGCTTTTGGGCACTCCAGTGATGTTGCAGCTCTGAAATATGGCCAAACTGGTGGCAAGTGGCATCGTGGCAGCTGCACGCTTGACTTTTCTCAGTTCATGGGCAGTTATTTTGCGCCTTGGTTTTTCCACACGCTTCTTGCGACCCTGTTGACTATTTTGAATGAAACGCTTGATTGTTCGATGATCACGCTTCAGAAGCTTTGCAATTTTAAGAGTGCTGCATCCCTCTGCAAGATATCTCACTATTTTTGACTTTTCTGAGCCTGTCAAGTCCTTCTTTTGACCCATTTTGCCAAAGGAAAGGAAGTTGCCTAATAATTATGCACACCTGATATAGGGTGTTGATGTCATTAGACCACACCCCTTCTCATTACAGAGATGCACATCACCTAATATGCTTAATTGGTAGTAGGCTTTCGAGCCTATACAGCTTGTAGTAAGACAACATGCATAAAGAGGATGATGTGGTCAAAATACTAATTTGCCTAATAATTCTGCACTCCCTGTATATATATATAAAAATATAAAGTATGACTCCATGTATCTATGTATCTATGTACAGCTCTGTAGCATGTTCAATACATTTTATTATTTGGCTTTAGATATAGACCACTGTATAACTCCATTCACTTCACTTGACAGGTGCATAGCCGTACCCTTACACCCCTAGGTTCTGAGCCACAGGCCAGCTCGAAACCTACCATACCAACTTTTAAACCACAACACCATCTTTTAAAAACACATAATTAATTCAATCCCTAATAACAACCCATTCCACGCCCTAATTTACCTATCCAGTCCCCCGCTGCTGTGACCAGACGGAGGATAACTCCAAACCTAACACAAAATCAGGGAGGGTGGGAGGGACAACAACAAGGTCTGTAAGAAAGCATTAGAATGGGAACATTTTAAGATGGCCGCCCTATATGTATCAGCCTGCACACCCCAGATAACTAGCCAATCCAAGCACACTAACTCTGAATGCCCGCCTCCTAGCTCTGTCAAGGCCCTATTCCACTGAGATGTGCTTCTCCATGGGTTACATGACAGGCGCATAGTCGTACCCTTGGGCATTAAGAATAAAACCCCCATACGTACCTAATAATGCACGGACATCAATGTAACAGCTTTTAATATATTAATTTTAATACAAAAAGTCATTGTCAAACAAACCCTATGACATAGTATATAATTAACCCCCCAAAACATTACAATGACAATGACTTCAATATTAACAACATAACACCATAACAATATAAATAACATCATGAAACATAATAAAGTGCAAACAATTTGCCCGAAGGATCCAATGTAGGGGCCACAGGCCAGCTCGAAACCTAACATACCAACTTGTCCGAATGATCAGTATACTGAGATACCACTATACTCCCAGGTTCTGAGCCACAGGCCAGCTCAAAACCTACCATACCAACCTGCCCAAATGAGCAAATGTAGTGGTATACCAAGATACCCTTAAACCTATTATACAAACTTTTAAACCACATATTTAATTCAAGCCCTAATAACAACCCATTCCACTCCCCAATTTACCTATCCAGTCTCCCACCACAGCTTAGACCTTTACCCATGAAGATGTCTGCGCACCGCCACCCCCAATATACAATGTCCTGGCCAAACCTTTCTGTATTCCCAACTGGAAACAGTGAGACCAACATCCAAAAGATGCACCCCAGCCACACAAAATAACATGGCAACAATGTGCCCCAGGTGCCTAATCACCCGCTATCAATTTATTGACCTTAAGTATGCCTCTAGTGAAACCGGGGAACCATTTCCAACCAATTAACCACTACCCCTGCCACTAACTCCTGCAATTGGTCCACATCACTTTTAATTTATTTAACCAACTCCAGCTTTTGCACCTGCCCCAGGTCATTACCTTCTGCATGAAATAAAACAAAACCTTGGGACCCCTACCTCATCCAACCTGCTAAACATCTACTGACACACCTCTCTCCACCCAAGACCACAAAACCGGAGTCACACCAATGTAACCTGATCCACCAGAAAGCCCAACTGCTAACTTTGAAACCCAACTGCAGCTCTCTTCTGTGTCCAGGGTACATACAAATGGCCCACCAACCATGCAACCAACCCTAAGGATGCAAACACAAAAGCTCAAGTAAATGCTTCATACTGAGAATGTTTATTTAGTAATCTTTTGTAAAAAGATTTTTTTTTTTTTTTTGTACGCCCATATCCGTGCGATGAAGCAAACAGGTGATTAACCACGAGAACAACCAACATTTTGTGAGATAAGAATATAACTTTTCTATGCCTCAATTGCTCAACCCACAACGAAAGTGCCACCACCAATGGAAACAACCCAAAGAATGCTAGTTTGCAGACGAGTGTGCTTATTTTCTACTCTGCAGACCTCTACACACCACTGACCTCCAAAATAAGTCCCAAAGCCCAAGCTACCTGAAGCCTTAATAAAGAGCTTAATCTCCTCAGGAGAAACCACAACTTTTCTTAAAACACCGTCCCGATAAAGAAAAGTTTCCCATACTTCCACCTCAGCCTCCTCAGCAGCAGTGACCCTGAATAAAGGGATGAACTGATTCTTTCCCACAAGTAGGGTTGGCCAAAAACTGTTAAAAACGTTCCCCATCGGGATAACCCAAAGTTGAGACGGTCAATCAAAGATGGTAGTTGCCTCAATGTCACCTTCCTGGCCTCTTTTACCTCGGCCACAACCTGCTGCAATGCAATCACTTTATCCACAGGAAGCCTATACCCACCCCTCTTCGAGACGATCTCCAACCCTAGGAAGTAAGACATGTAGCTGGGCCCTCTGCTTTGTCAACTACCAATATTTAACTGAACAATTGGGCTACCCATTCCAGCTATCTCATCACGTATAGGCCAGAATCTGAATCAGAAGGGCCTACACAAAGGTAATCATTCAGGTAGTGAACAATAAATTGACTACCAGCTTCCTCTCTAACTACCCCTTCCACAAAAGTGCTACACATTTTCAAGTAAGAACATGAGATGAAACATCCCATCAATTGATTCAAAGCCACAGAGAACTTGCCTTTGAAAAAGCACCCTAATAAGTGATGGCCATTAGGATGTACGGGTAAAAGTTGTCTCTATAGCTGCCTTAGCCAACAGAGCGCTTTTGCCAGACCTCTTTACCAACTGGACCGCCTGGTCAAATGACGCGTAAGAGACTGAGCATAGCTCCCTATTAATATCTGATGACCTTTTAGGAGGAGACAGATTGTGGATAAGTCAGAATTTTCTAGTCACCTTCTTCAGCACCACCCCTAATAAACTTCAGAGATTTTCCAACAGGAACACCAGAAACGGCCTCACTATCTTACATAGCCGTACCTCCTTGAACAAATTGTCCCTAACCACCTGCGGGAACTCCAAAACTGATTTCAAGTCATGGAAGTGCAAAACGGTCCCTTAACAAACATGCACCTCTTCACCTCTTGATTAGCATAGTGGCTTAGCCAGGATAGCATTGCGCCTAACCTCACTGGGCTTTGCCCCGTGTCAATGTAAGCTGCCACAGAGCCAGATGCACCAGTGGTGGAACTGGTCTTACTCCACTTGAAGAACCTGCTGAGTCTGTGGGTTCCCCTAAAGCCAGGGCACTTGTGCTTGAACTTACAGCTGCTGCCCCACTTGCATTGGATATCTTTTAGTAGCCAAAAAAACCCTTAAGTCTAGATAACAGAACAAGGATGCAAAAAAGCCTGTAACCAATTACCAAAAGACTTCGGTATCTTCTGATAGCGCCGCCGTTTCTCATTCTCTTTGCACCTTTCTCACATCCTTTGCATCATTCTTGTCCTCTTCACTCGTGTCAATTAATTCCTCTAAGGTCAAGAGAAAATATTCCCAAAACTCCCCCTTACACATTTTTTCTTACATTTTTTGTTTTAAATAGATCGCCCGAAACCCCTGAAAAGGATACATAAGCATTCTGTCAGGCCACACCAGTAATGCAACCAGACAGTCCTGTGACCAACGCACCCGATGCTGCAACTACGTCACCCCCAACACTCCCTTCAATATCTGGAACTACAGTAGCATTGCCCCCCAACCTTGTGACCCCGCGTGTTGTATCCAAACTTTCCCAAAGCCTGACCTGTTTCCTGTCATTGTACCCCACAAATTTAAAAAAAGATTTAAACCTTCTAATAAATTCCCACCATGTAGTGCATTATTTAACTCACCACCTGAACCCCCATTTGCCAAAAACGGCAGGGCTGCCTCTCATCGTCTTCGAGTTTCGCAAACTGTTACTGCAGCTGCTGGCATGGATCCTGAAGCCTGGTTCCTAAATGAAACCGCTGGTGATCAACTCCCAAACCTGTAAGGAGAATAAGTCTTGGATAGTCTGTTCCTACCGACACTGTCCCTTCCTTAGCTGGGGTAAGTAACCTGCCATCACATTTCCAAGTGCGGTCCACCTGCCTGAGTGGGGGATCTTGTCCCTGTAAAGCCCCTAGGACCCACTCTGTCCTCAGCCATTGTTCCCAACCCCTCCCAGGCTGCTGGTACATGCCTATCACTCCTGCTGCCAGAGGACTACTGTTCCAGTTCCTTGCCATGATGATCACTGGATGTGCTATGTTCTGATCCGACACCTTTCTTGTCAGTCTTTAGCCTCCTGTGATCCTGAACAGCACCAGTGATGTTTTCGGCCCTGCTGTGATGCTTTTGCTGGTTAGGACCCATAGGTCTGCACTGTCTACCATCCACAGATCTATTGTCATCGGTGGTGTCAGCGTGGCTAAGTGACCTGCTATCCCGTTCCAAAGTGCCCTTCCCGACTGGGGGATCTTGTTTCTCGGAAAAGAGTGCGGCCCCTATGACCCACTCTGTCCTCAGCCACCTTTCCTAACCCTCCTTGGATGACGGTACTTGTCTGTCACTCCAGCTGCCAAAGGACTCCTGTTCCACTTCCTTGCCATGTTATGTTCTGATCTGATACCTTTCCTGTCAGTCTTAAGCCTCCTGTGGTCCTGAACAG